GGATAGAGAAATAAAATAGGAAATTAATTTTTAGTTCTCTCTACATAAACATTTGGTTAAGCTTTCTTTTTTGCAAGGAATAACCAATGTGGTCGAAACCGCCAATTCAATTTACAATTTTTAATTGAAACAATTAAATTTCGGTCGAGCACAATGAAATTAGAACTTTCCATCCCTAAAAAGAGCTACGTTTAAAAAAATCCCCTATGTTTATAACAAATTTATGGGTGTAGTCCAAAATTCAAACTTACCTTCCAATGAAAAAGCGATGGTTCATTTTTTATGGCGAGTTTTATTATTAGTTAACATTAATAATTCATTGTTATTTGCTAAGTAAACCCACTGATATACAATTTATTCCCTAACGAACAGTTACTAATTAATAGCTATGCAGCGATTGACAGGCAGACTAATAGAATAAACAGTGTTTACCTACAACACTTTTGCCTTTTTTGTAATAAATTTATAATGCAATAGGAAATATTCAATTCTATGGTTCATTATTTAGTGCTGGGGCGACTAGAAAATTTAAATTGTTGACATTTCGAGGTTTTTACTAACATCTCGTCCAAAAGTGGCTTATTATTTTTTTATTTATTTTTTTGGATATACACAGGGTGAGTCACTACGCGTGTTCCTCGATATCTCATTATTTATTGAAAATGAAAAAAGTTATTATTTTTATTTAAAAACACTCTGTAACAGAAAATTTAATTAAAAAAAAAATGCATTGGATTGCTAAAACAAAGTTAAAGAAAATTGGAATGACGTGGCAACGTCGCATTGGAATTTCAAAAATATACTACAGTTATAAAGGCTACATCGACGCCAGAATATGTAAAAATATAAAGGTGTTCCGTTAAAAAAAAAGCTAGTTGTGCGTTACGCTTCAAAGAGAAGACACTTCGGACAGTTGAAAATAATTTGTTTGTGATTTTCAAAGACATACATATATAGCTTTAATCTTCAACTTTTTTTCTATCGGTGACTCATCCTGCAACAAAAAACGGACGAAGATGCTGTAATAAATAAAATATGGGTTGTTTTATTTGAAAAAAATTATGACTACTAATTTGAAAGAATCTCGGGGACCTCTTCTACCTGGTTTTTGAAGTAATTTGAAATAATATCAGAGACTCCTTGTGTTTTGTTTTTGAAGTAGTTTGAAGGATCTCTGGGACCTCTTTTCTTTCATTTTTGAAGTAATTTGAAACAATCTCGGGCACCTCTTATGCGGTTTTTGAAGTTATTTGAAAGAATCTCGGCGAGCTCTTGCGTGGTTTTTGAAGTAGTTTGAAAAAATCTCAAGGACTCCGTATGCTTTGTTTTTGAAGTAGTTTAAAAGAATTTCTAGAACCTCGTGTCTGGCTTTTGAAGTAGTTTAAAAGAATCGCGTGGACCGCTTGTGTTTTGTTTTTTTGAAGTAGTTTGAAAGAATCTAGGGGCTCCTTGTGTCTCGCTTTTGAAGTAATTTGAAATAATCTCGGGGACCCCTTATGTTTTGTTTTTGAAGTAGTTTAAAAGAATCTCGGGGACCCCTTGTGCCTGGTTTTTGAAGTATGTATTTGAAAATTGTAGCATTAAAAAAATTATTTTGTACTTAGAGTCACTTTTATTGATATTACAATAAAGCCCATATCTTTGTTTATTTATCCATAAAATGTCCAGATTTCAAAAATAAATATACTCTTGATTTTTTTTAACTTCCAGAAAACTACAGTAACTTGAGAATGTCACATCAGAATTTCAAAAGTAGGAAATATTTGCAAAAGCTAAAAGGAAGCCAGCTGAGATATATAAAAGTGTTTTATCTAAGAAAAAAAAAATATAAGGATTGAAAAACTGCAAATCAAAAAATTGAAAAATGCAAAAAGTGAGAAATTAAAAATTGAAAACTCGAGAAATTTTAAAAACTGTGATATTTCAATTGACAACTTTGGAAAACCGGTTGGAGTTACAAATAAAATTCGCAAAAACAAATCTTATAATTCTTTGAAAATCTGGATATATTTACTTTCGATCAATTTTTTGAAATTAGAATTTTCGTTTTTCCTTTCTCTTCGATTTTAAATTTTCCATATCACAATTTTTCGTTTTCTCATGTTCTCTCTTTTTCAGTTTTTCAATTTTTCAAGTTCTTGAGTTTTGTTTTTCATATTCTCGATGTTTTATTTTTATTTTCTCGATTTCATATCACAGTTTTTTCTTTTATAATTCCTTTATTTTTTCAATATTTCTTTCCGTTTTATAATTTTAAAATAGAAAACTGGACAAATTGAATAATTTAAATTTGAAAACTTCTGAAGTTCTTTCTTCAGAGCCAATAAGAATGAATGATGAAAACGGGATAAGGGTGGGTGAAAGGAGCCCTTTTTTACTTTGTTTTAAATCTTAGTCCTATCGCTTGTTAAAACAGAATTCAATTCACATTTTACAGTAAATAAAATAAGTCAGTGAAATAGAGACAAGAAGTGGGCGGAGCTGAGTAGGTTTTTCTAAAGTGTTTTATAAGCAAGCAGTAGCCCCGCCCACCCACCCTCTGTTTTCTTTGAGGGTATGTGATTTGCCAAATTTAGTTTTATCAAGGCATGTACTAGGCCCGTCCACCCGCCCTCTATCTTCTTAGAGGGTATGTGATTTGCTAAAATCAGTCTTATCTTGGCAAGTTCTAACAAAAAAAAATAAATAAAATAAGAATTGGAAAATTGCAAATCGAAAAATTTTTAAAATTGTGATATTTCAATTGACGACTTTGGAAAACCGGTTGGAGTTACAAATAAAATTGTATATTCCTCTTAAAAAACCTAACACTGTATAATTCAAAATAATTTATCTTTGGTCACGCGCCATTAACACGGGAACAGCAAACCTACCGTTGCCATTGGTTAGGCAACACGTGTCTGAAGCTTCAATGATTTAATTGACTTTTAGCTGAGCTTCTTCTTGTGTCTTTCACGTAATCACTGCATTTATCGGTCAATTCTAGTATAGCGTTACTTTTTTGCGGCAATTCTTGATATGTTTTATAATGTGTGAGGTGTAGTGTACTAAATATTCCAGAGAAATTAAATGCATCTCTTTCTAAATAACAGAAAAACAATGAATGAACTCTTCTTAAAAATGTTGTAAAATTTAATTATACTTTTTTTTTTAGGATAGCCCCTTTAAATGTAATTAAAAATATGAATACATTATTAAACCACAAAAGAAAGAAAAGGGGACTATAGTATTCGAAATCTGTGTAATAGCATCCCCAATAGACCCTCGGGAAACTTATATTTCGTATTTTTCAAACTGTGAAAAAATATCGAGAAAACTTGAAATTAAGCATTCGTAAAATGAGTAGGAATGTGCGTCACATGAATAAATAGATTCTATCTATTCAAGGAATAGTCAGTCGTTCGACTAAATGTCTCGTATATTAAACTTTCCACTTGTAAATGAAGTCTGTTTTTTTTCACTTGTATGTGCCGTAAATAACTTTTGATGAATTTTTAATGACGTACTATGATTTTGGTAGTAAGAAAATAACTCATGTAATCAAATTCCTTCTTTCCTCTATTTTTCAGAAAAACTTCACCGTTTTCCTTTTTCTAAATATTATGTCTGTTGTAACCCTGTGATCTATTTTAGTCAGCTAATGATCCTGTTACATTTATACAAGGACTTTTTTGTTAAACTTTACTAATTAAAAATCAATTGTAAATATTCGGTTAACTTGTTATCCACAACCCGCTCTAAAGTCCCACAGAGTTAGTGTTGGACGCAACACATTACGCTTTGCACCACTAAAATTGATTTCCTTGAGATAGCGTTGCTACAATATTTGTGTTACAGTGCTGCAGTAGTAATACCCTCTACAAACAATATTCTTTAAGCTATTTATTTACTAAGTATTATTTTCTTTTCAGAGAAGGAATAAACTACTTCCAATGCTAAAGAAACAGTTTCATTCGAACCTTTGACATCAGTTGAATTTCATTAAAATAAAAAAAAAAATATCGAGTGTTTGTGATGTAGAATTAGTGCACAATTTTCGATAAAGACATTCATGTCAGACAGTTCAGTTAATTGTTTTTTACTGTATTTACAAAGAGAAGAATCAAATAATTAATTTATGCTTTGTTCCTCTATTTCCGTTCCACCACGTTTGTAGAAATAAGAGGACATCTACATTTTGACATACATTTCTTGGTAGAATTTCCATAATATATTTTGATTTCTCAAACTCGGATATTTTTATACAAAACAATGGTGGCTCTTTCTAAAGAATTGTCCGAACTTTTATTCCGGCTTTACCTTTCGACAAAAAACAGGACATTTACGCCAATCGCACTTGTTCTATTTACGTCACTTTTAGTTTATAATGATGGTATCCAAAACGCGTCATATTAGAAGAAGAAAGAAAATTGATTATTATTAGTAACGGTGATTATTACCAGTGAGCAATAAATTACTGAATAAATGTTTTACATAGGTATAATGTAGTGGCCTACATGCAATAATTTTATACTATGAGTAGGCATAATGTAAAACACATTAAATGAATTATCAGCATTAGCTAGTATCATGCGGTGCGTTGTTTAAATAATTGTGTGGGTGAAATACTGAATTCATATTGGAATAATTTCATGATATAAAACCCATTAATGAAAGTTTTCACTTTCCATGTATAACAAAAATACCCATCGAATAAATGTGATGAAAATAAAACCACAGTGAAATAAATATGCCTCCCAAAAATAGAAATGAGAATGTATGCAAGAAAGAAATAGAGCTATTCAAATTAGTTCCTAGGTCTTTTCAACGACCTATCTCCGTAAATCGATGTGTACGTAGGCTCAACTTTTTTGATAAATAGCGTCAGAAAAACGCGAACGAATCACGCAACGGATTGATTGACCTTTTATGGTAATACAACAGTAATTATACAGGGCATGCAATATATGTTTTCCCACTTTTTACGATTTATTAAAATTTATTACTCTTTTTTTTTATAGTACATCCGAGTGGCCCACGATACGAAACCGGAACATCTTATGCAGCTTATTACGAAGGAATGGAACCTGGAACTTCCTAAATTGCTCATTTCCATCCAAGGAGGGAAGGCTAACTTCGAATTACAACCGAAACTGAAGAAAGTTTTACGCAAGGGCCTATTGAAAGCAGCGCGGTCCACTGGTGCTTGGATATTCACTGGCGGCACGAATACAGGTCTTGATTTTATACTGTCATGTTAATTCGCGATAAAATAAGCCCCAGTGTATACTAAATATACCTTCACGGTCTTGAAACCGCGCCTGTTGAAACGAAAACGAAAACAAAGAAACAATAAATGTGCAGGATTACTTTAAACCCGCATGTTTGTTTTAAGAATTAAATATTTTTGTTAAACACTTCGTGATGTTAAAAGTTGTATAAGCGCTACCCACAAGCTTGAAACAGTAAAGTGATTAAAAACAATTGTGTAGATGCTCCGCGAACACAATAACGACTGAGATTTATTTCATACTTGGAGTTAGTTATGCGTACTCTTCATATACAATTATAAATACAGGCAAATTATTAGTCATATGAAAATGTTTTATCTCGTGCCAGAAACAAGTATTGAAGTACCTATGAATGCTACTTGGAATCACATAATCATTTCAGGATAAGTTTTAATTTTGTGTGCAACAACACACGACATACGAAAATAGATGTTGCTAGGTTAAACAGAAAAGTACGCAGATACACAAAGCCACATCAAAATTGCGTATCAGAAAATTAAGGAGCGGTTCAGTCCAAAAATCTGTTCATAAAATATTGACCAAACTTCGCTTTTTCTAAAAACTAATAAAAAGATAATGCGAATATTTCTAAAAAGGTAAATTTCCCTATCTACGTGTAAGTACGGATCTTAAGCAATTAGTTTTGTTTGATTTATGAGTGGAAATAAATTTTCACTGCTTATAGTCACGTTTGTGTTTTCCGAAAATAAGCTAAACATAACGTAAAAGTGCTGTAATGTAAACAAAATAAATTGGATGTTTTTTGATACCAACCCTATTTATACAAAATACCTATTGATAAACAGACGCAGAAAACACAAAATCTTACACAGATGAAGTAGGTGGAAGTAACCTTAATAATAACATAAAGTTTTAACACATTAAAATCATCTTTTTTTATTATTCTCTTTGGTAGGCTATGTATGTTTCAAAATTTAAACAAATATCAAATACGATGCCGTTTAATCACAGACATTTAATCAAATATTTGTTAAATACTTTTACTAAAACACTATTAATCTGTTGTATTTTACACTTCAGACTTAACAAGGTTCGAATGATATTAGGAAGGTCATTTTTAGGTGATGCGTTTGGTATAATAACTAAATAGCTGACCAAAAAAAAATGTAAGAACACCTTTCATTTTTATTATATTACCACATATGCTCAAGGAGTACCACTGACCCTAATACTGTTTCACTAATTTTGAAAATTAAACCGTTACCCGTAATAAACATTGTCGTTCTACACTGATTTGATCATGAGGTAACTGGTCTAGAGATAAGTATTTGTATCATTTTGATAATTCATACCTGCAAAGTTCTGGTAAATACATATTGTTGGAATGAGAATAAGATAAATCAAGTTTATTATCCTCTGTTATTTGAATAATGCCTTTTCCTTTGGAGTTGGGGTTTTAAAAATATTGTCAATATATGACGGTGTCCTTATTTAGGAAATTTTTAAAAGTTTTTTAGTTGTCGCAACCAAATTGATCCCCTTTCTTAATAAATGTTTATAAGTGTGAAATTGATCTTTGTGTATTGGAAAAATTTGGATCTAGGAGACTCAGTTAAAATTTGAATTACACTGTTTTTTAGAGCATGGTGGCCTTAATATTGCAGTAAACTTGTTTATTTTAGAGCAATGATAAAGAGTTTCAGTTTCCAAATTTAATTATATATTATAATTATTTTCCGAATAGATCCAACTTCCTGGGCTCCTTGTTCCGCTACTCTTCCGTTATATTCTTTATTTCAAGAGTGTACATCTTCCTTGTATACCCATTTGTGTATATGAAAAAGTAAGCTTGTGGGTATGTACGTCTAATAAGGGCAACATGTTTCCATCCCATGGAATTCCTTGAATTTTGTTATTTATTTTATAAATTTCAAAGTTACAGTTCATTTTATTTCTCATCTCGACTTCTTCAAGGTAGTGATCGTAAACTAATTTTAACTGAATTTATTCACTTGAGTTGTGGGAACTACGTTTGAAAGTTTTAAATTTAACAGCCGAGGCACCATACTGTGTCGACCTGTTGCTGTAAAAAATAAGAACTCTTAAATTTTTGTTTTACTTCCCTTAGATAATAGCTGCTCCATTTCACTCGTTTAAGTTATATATCTGACTCCATTAGCGCACTCAGTGAAATAATTACTTTTTGCACTTCCTGGATTAAAACCGCTTTCTTACAAAATTAGTTTCTCCAACAAATGATTATTATAATATGACTAATGTGTACGTGGTAATATTTATTGGAAACATTGCAGTAATTAGCGTAACAATATAAATAACATTTTAAATAATGTTATGTAATACTCTTTGATTTTTTTTACGTGGAAGCCACGAAAATTCGTTAAAATGCACGCTTGGCATCTAGAACAAACCAAGACGACAAATAATAAAATAATTTTGTTTATATCGTAAGTCCAGAGGGAGTCGTGATTTCGTTTTGTAGTTATTTTTTCATTTTTAGTGAGTTTCGTATAATGTGAAACATCAAATAAACTTCTGAAATATGATTTCACAAAAGATGTTTATTCTTGTATTAATTAAATTTTGACTGTGAAAATTGTGTGATGTTATAATATTGTTCATTTTAATTAGGGCGGAAAAACTCTTAATCTCTCACTTGAAAGAGTACATCAAACACACCAACGAACCTAGTTTTTTATAAACAGCAATTATGCGTATAATATAAGCGAAGGTGTTTAGTGCGGAAACAAAAAATATTGTTTTACAGAGTGTTGGAACGAGCAACTCAAGCACTCGAACCAATTTATATAAAATTATATCGTCTGGTTATCTATTCCAATAGATAAATAAATAACTAAAAAGAAATGAATTTTTTATATACTACGTGACTAAAATTAACAAAATTGAAAAAAAATACTAGCCTGTTTTAAGATTGTTAATAAAACCGTAAGCAAATTTAAGCTCCAATGCTTTTAATAACAACTTTAAAACGTTTGAAAATATCTATCTTAAAAGCGTTTTTAACCCAGAAACTAGCATTTCTGTTTGTAAACAATGAAATGTCATGAAATTAAAGACTAAGTGGAACCGCACAACACAAGGCACACAATTTATATTTAAAATGTTAAAAGGAATTAGAACGCTTGGTGTAAACGAGCAAATAACTTAAACACTCGATGCCAGTGGCTGTTAATTTATATTTTTCTAACAAACAGTTCGGATGTAGTAGAAAAACTATATATTTTTTCAGAACTTGATCATCATTAAAATTTAAATGCGATTGTATCTGATACTGAATGTGAAATAGTTTTACATTTTTAAACATTAAAAAAAAATTAAATTGGTGATGTAACATAAAAGCCACAAAAGTTAAAAAAAAACACATTTTTTTCATTATTAATTTATAAATGTTAATTCTTTAGGCGTTACAAAACACATCGGCGACGCACTGCTTCTCGAACGATCTCAGAGGACAGGAAGGGTAAACACCCTAGGGATTGCACCCTGGGGTATTGTGGAAAATAACCAAGAACTCATAGGTCATAACACGGAAGTGCCATATCACTCAATATCATCGCCTAGGTAAGCAAAGATTTCAGTTACGTCTCCGTTCTATTTGCTTCCGACAACATGGCGCACTCCAAAATAGAAAAACCGCTTATATTCCATTCACGGGGTGCAGTTTTAGCATAGTCTCTCAAGAACTCAGTTTGCAGAGCTACTAGTACCAATTTGTAATTTTCATTTCCAACTTCGTGCCATTTCAGAGCCAAAACCCTCAAATTCACTTTACACGTTTTTCCAAGCCCTTCTTTATTGAATGATACTGAGATTGGAACTAGAATTTTTATATCTTCCGGCCTAAGTACTATTAATTTTCTTTGAGTAGGAGTTAACCGGTAGTTGATATCGTCTTGTAGTTTGATTTTAGCGGAGTCGGTCATTAAACCTTCCAGTTCTTCAGTGTTGCCATTGCTAATAATTTCCGTTATCCTGCAGACGGCTCTGGTTGAACCGTAAATAAAAGCACCCTCGGAAAATTCCGGATCCCAAATTTTTTTCAAGTATTTGAAACGCAGTTTCGATTTAATCCAGCGGATAACGTGAGGCATGTAGATCAAGTCCGGGGTTTTAGGCATCTGATCATTTCTGCCACAAGTTTGAATGTACCTTTTAAAAACGGACTTTGTCCATAGGGACGACGTTTTTGAAGATCCTGAGGGATTGGAATTTGATGAATAACGTAAAATTCCGTGACTATTAGACAAAACAAGACGATTATTGAGTAGATATTTGCATGAATACGTAAATTTTGACGGGAATAATGATCTGAACATGATCTGAATTGTCACATTTTCTTGACACTGACATATCTTTTTTCCTAACCATAGTGCAAGTAATTATCTAGGGATTTTTGTTTTTTAAGCGTAATCTATTAAATAATGATCAGTTCTATCAGTTTTTTTAAGGTGGTTTTAACCAATTTGATGAAAAGATGTGGCATTGTTGAATTTTTAATGCAATACATTAAAAGCATTTTAAAACCGTCGTAAGATTATATTTTTGTTAAAGACAGACTTGCGTGTCGAAGTTATTAGTATATTAAATATAATAATTAATCAAACCGCACCTGTACATAAGTTTCCACGCTCCGAGTAAATTATGTTACTATTTTTACCCTATCGTTCTTGCCCACTGTTTTCTAATTTTCCTTTTTATTCCCTCGTTTCAAGCATTGATCGGACTAGCAGTGAATATATATGCGTTTGGCTTTCCCTTTTCTTTGATTTTTCAGCTACATTTTGTATGCAGGTTTATTTTATTTATTCATTTGAATTTCGTCAAAGTTGCTATTGCTTTTTTATTACATTTCAGTAGTCGTAAGAATTTGAAGAATATATTTTTCATCTTTAAATTAAGGAAGGTATTCGTTGCCAGAATAATATCGATTTAAGTTGATAAAAATTGACAAAAAAAATAATAACAAAAGAGCTACATTTTTCATCTATTTCCAGTTTTGTAGTTAACAGCATTGATTTGAAAATAACATTACATCAGCTTCAAACATGTTTGTTTATAGAAAGAACACTGAATAAATAAAATTTTCAATGGTGCCAATTGCGAGTCATAAACCAAACCACAGTCCACTGCAAATCAAAAAATAAATTATCGCAAGTTCGATAATTTCTAGTCATATAGCATAACATAAATATTTGCTCTGCAGTTATGTAAGTCAACTCTTCCTAAAACCAGTTTTTATTCTTTGCCGAAAAAGTTATTAAACTGAGAACATCATTTGCTAGCATGATGGATTTATTGATTATTATACTCTACGCGCTTTGATAAAATCAAATAAAGAATCATCTAAAGTACATCAACACGTTTCTTGTGTGTCATTCCAAATAAACTTAATGTTAGATCATGCATACCTCTTAATAATAAAAAATGTTTGTTGAAAAGTACAGTGTCAAAACTCCATAATGTAGTAAAAGATTTCAGATCACGCTAATAGAAACGGAATAAACAAGATCATGTTCTCACCTGAGTGCTATAAAAATTTAACAAGTGTGTGGTACATAGTTACAAATAAGTTAACAGCGTTGACATTCAAGCTTCTGTTTCAACACTTGATAGTACGAGGGTGCCACATCAACGTAAGTTTGTTAGTTTTTTTTTTTTTTTTTTGATTATTTTATCGCATATTTTACAACTGTCATTTGATTATTTGAATCATAACTGTGTTTTTCGGTTTACTCGTAGTAAACAGCAGTTTTAAAAAATCTGAAGATAATTATGACACTTCCTCTTGTGATATTTTAAAACTCTAAATTTCTAAATGGGTTGCAAATTCTTGATGTTCGTTACCGCCCTAAGAATACCCGGCGTGAACATTTTCAACAAAATTTTCCGTAGCTCGAAATGAATGCAGGCATAGTAAATGATTTTAAAGGATAATAAATCACTTCTATAATCCCATTTAAAATTTCAACAAAGTAGGTAAGATAAGAACTTACAAAGGCCAAACGATAACTAAATCTCATTTTTTCTCACAAACAGAAGTTTCACCAATTCAAAGCATGATAATTACATACATACATACAGTCTAATTTTTAGACTAATTTAAGCCGTTATCAATTTTAATCGATGAAGAGTGTGGCAGGAAGCCGTGTCATGTTGCCCGCAACGTTTTATTGGATTAGATTTACATTTTATATTGCCCAAACAGTTTTTTGTAATAAAACTTGTTATAAAATACATTAAAAAATGTGTAATTTAATATACAACAGAGGTAAATCAAATTCAAAATTCGCTGCAGCGTTTCGGCAAACACCACATGAGTTATTTTTTGCATAATAAATATATCATATTATTTTTTACGGAGGTTCCATCGAATTTAGAATTTAAATGTCAAACAAGTGAAGCATCCAACGGTTAACTTAAAAAAAAAAATCATGAAATTATTATATAAAATGAACAACAGTATCATTCGATTTAAGAAGAGTTCTTTTGCAAACGTTGATGACGTCACATAGAAAAATAACTAAAACACACTGTCAAGAATAAAACTTAGTTATTTGAGTGTTTTTTGAAAAATTTTAAGCTTTGAAATTTATACCACATGTCAAATTTTTTCCATAATAAGATAACTGCAACCTTGGATCGAGAGATGCGTCAAACATGTAATTTATTAATATGTTCCTTGAATGTTTATAACGTGCTATAATATCCGAAAATCAAATTTGACTTAAGTAAGTGAAGTTCTTAGTTCAGGAAGATTTTTCAGCAACATTTTCGTGTCGTCACTATTTCAAAAAACAATAAAGTAAAACAAAAAATTGAGGATCAACTCGACTTTCAGGTCCAAGTTTGCAGCTTTAAATAGTAGACACGCTTATTTCCTACTAGTCGATAATGGGACTGTTGGAAAGTATGGTGCGGAAATAGTCTTGCGGCGAAGACTGGAAAAATACATATCAAAACAGAGACTATATCCATGTAAGTATGTGGCAAAATGTTCATGAAATGAAGCTGCTAATTTTTAATTTAACTTTGTAGTTACCCAAAGTCCCATACCAATAGTCTGTTTAGTAATAGAGGGGGGTACTAACACTATCAGGGCTGTTTTAGAATATGTCACAGATGATCCTCCTGTGCCCATTGTCGTGTGCGATGGGTCAGGGCGAGCAGCCGACTTAATTGCCTTCATGTGCAAGTAATAAATTTAGTCGAGTTTGTTTTCAGCATCTGATCGTTGTCCTTTTAAGGTACGAATTGTCGGTTCTCAAGTCCATGAGAGATTACATTATAGCTACAATTACGAGAGCGTTTGAGGTTAATCGAGATTTAGCGGAGTGTTTATACGGGGAACTGATGCAGTGTGTTGAAAATAAAAATTTGGTAAACATTTAGCGTAACTTGTGAGTCAGTGAGACTCATCGCAAATATTTGCTTGCAGATAACCGTCTTTCGCATAGCTGATAAGTACGATCAGAAACCGCAGGAACTTGACCAAACGATTTTGACCGCCCTATTTAAATCCCAGCATCTTTCGCCGACCGAACAGCTCAGCCTGGCTCTTACATGGAACCGAGCAGATATAGCTCGATCCGAAATTTTTATTTACGGTCAAGAGTGGCCACGTGGCGCTCTCGAAGACGCCATGATGAAAGCTCTAGAGCACGATAGATGCGATTTCGTCAAATTATTATTAGAGAACGGCGTTAGTATGCGGAAATTTTTAACGATTCCTCGCTTAGAGAATCTTTATAACTCCAAAGAAGGTCCTAGCAATACTTTACGGTACATCCTGAGGGATGTGAGGCCTCACATTCCAGCCGGTTATGTTTATACTTTGCACGATATTGGGTTGGTGATCAATAAGTTGATGGGGGGCGCCTACAGGGCTTTTTACACGAGGAGGAAATTCCGGCCTATTTACGCTAAAGTAATGAACAAGGGGCAAAATATGCAACGAAACTCTACTTCATTCGTAAAACAATATGGTAATGCTATGAGCTTATTGGCTCAGGCACTTCCATCCAACGCGAATCCTTGCCTATTTGATTATCCGTTTAACGAACTACTGGTGAGTAGTCACATTACAAAGTGTTTATGTGTTAATCGTTGATTTTAAAGATATGGGCTGTGCTAATGAAAAGACATAAAATGGCACTCTTAATGTGGCAACATGGGGAGGAGGCGTTGGCCAAAGCTTTAGTAGGTTGTAAACTTTACAAAGCGATGGCGCATGAAGCTGCTGAGGATGACATGGAAACTGAGGTTTATGAAGAATTAAGAGCTTACGGGAAGGAATTTGAAAATATAGGTGTGTGTTTGTAGGCGGTTACGAATTTTGCACTATTAAAATTTTTGGTTAATATCAGCAAAATTTTGTGTAAAACATCCTTTACAACAAAAAAGTTTCCTTATATGGAAAATTCCTTGTGTTTATAGTTGTGAATAATGACTCACATACATTTTTGCACATTATCTTTAATATGCTCACCGCCGTGCACAAATTTAGCACTCTTTTACGATTTGTTTTTACTTTTTCTACTAGAAATATTTTTTCTTAAGGATAAAAATTATTTGATGTGAGAAATAAACGTCAATTTAGTTTATGTTAGAAAAAATATATTTGTATCCTAACAATATTTTTGTATAACTTCAATAAATCGTTTGAAGTATACAAAGTTGTTTAAAAATTGTCACGTGGAGATGACTGATCTTTCCAAAAACAACATTTTAGTATATTTTTTAAACAGCTCTTGTAATTTTTAGTTTACATATATTTTAAGTTATTTTTTCTAATAATTCCATTTTACTATTTATATTCCAAAGATATTGTTAGAAATTTGAAGCAAATTTTCTTGTACCTGTGTATAGGATGAAACGGATATGAATACCCGTAACAGTGTATTCCCTATTTTTAAAACGTTATTTTTGGACTAAATTGCTGTGTATAGTACACCAGATATTACAGAGGTAAACTCATTGGTAAACTGTTTGGAGCTAATAATAGAAACAACTTTCGCATTTTGTACATTCTTGGCACAAACCAAATTAATGTAGATTAGTGACATAATTCAAAATTTTAAAGATCTGAACAATTTCCGATATAGTAGGACGCAACTAGACACAAAATACATTTTTGGAGCTTCGGACATCCTATAAGATTGGTTCTTAGTACGTCTAAAACCCTTTCAATACAATCACCATGTCGCTACTTTTCTAAGAACAGTGGTTGACAGGTAAATTATATACACTTTTTAAAATTTATTTACCACCTGTCAATCTTGTTGACCCAGCTTCCCTGTAAATGCAGGTAGCTAAATCCGCTTAAAATAGTTCCGGTAGATTTTCTGTGAATTTGTGAAAGCCTTCACGAGTTCCGAACTCCAGCAATGTAAGAATTTGCAACAATGTAAAGTTCGTTTATGTTGGGAACCTACAAGTGAACGCTGTTTTTTCCAGCGAACCAGACAAAGAAGTTAAAGTTGGCTTTTTTAACTTTCAAGGAAATGAAAAGACTAATGTAAGTAGGTCAATGTCAGCAAGTACAGGGATTTACATAGGTTACACTTAATAAAAATTTAATAATGATTATGTAATTCAGTTCACCAAATCACCAAATCTGATTTCTTATATATTTATCTTCTCGGGTCATGAAGTATTAAAAAAATGTTGCCTGCAAATAACAATTTTCAGAAACCATTGATGAAGTAAAAATTTTTGTGGTGCAAAATTTATGACAACCCTACTTGTAAGTTTTCTTCAGCCACTACGACCCACGATTTTTAGCTCTGGAGGTTTTGGACTACTGCTACAGACAGGACGACGATCAGACTCAACAACTCTTAACCTGTGAATTACAGAACTGGTCAGGACAGACATGTTTAAGCCTTGCGGTGGCTGCGAATCATCGAGCTCTTTTAGCTCATCCTTGTTCCCAAATTATTCTTGCCGATTTATGGATGGGGGGTTTACGTACAAGAAAGAATACTAATTTGAAGGTTGGATACTGAATCTACATGAATCACTTATAAGAGAACTTTATTTATTTAGGTTATTATGGGACTGCTGTTCCCACCTTATATTTTAAAGTTAGAGTTTAAATCCAAAGAAGAGCTGCAATTGATGCCACAAACAACAGAAGAACACATGGAACTGGAGAATGAAGACGACGACAAGTCAGATTCGGACAAGAATATCGATGGAGAAGTAAGTGTTAGTATTTTTGTTTATTTCCTTTTATGTTTTTTGTTTTAGTATCGTGATCGTTCTAACGATTTCTTTGTTTTTATAGCAAAAAGTGGTACGAAAACATTATATTGAATTTTACCCAAAAGTAAGCAAACCCATTTTTTGCACTTTGGTTTCGATGCACAAAGTTAGTGTTAATAACATCGTCATCAAAGGCCGCATATTTTTATATTGAACGTTTTTAATGATTTTTGCGCAATATTTTTTACATATTGCTATAATAGGCGATTTTTTTGTTCGTTGTAACATACAAGCCTTTTATAAATTTTTATTTTTGTTTAATTTCGAATCTTCATTTTCTTAGGAACTGCTATAATCAACACTTATTTTAATTTTCCCACAATTTTTGTTAATAACTTTATTCGACTTTTCCTTAACGAAAATCTTGAATTGTCTCTTAATTTGCCTTGGTTTATTATTTCTTATAGAAACGCACTAGAAGTTTGAGTATGAGAAGCAAGTCTGCAAATCCTCAAGGTGTAAAGGTAGCGAATAACAAAAAAGTGTTTCATTGTTGCAAAGTACTTCTTTTTCATAACACACACACATATTTACATTGTTTGACACACCACTGTCACAGAAAAACATAAAAAAATTGTACCAGGGAGGGAAAGAAATTGTATCAATGTTTTAGAAACGTAGTGTTTCCTTCTCTCTCTTTTCTTTTCTCTTTTACTGTTTATATGTATGTTTGCTGTTACCTTCTTGCCTTGAATGTTTATTCTCTCACGTGACACAAATAACTGACGCCACAAAGCAAACTCGTTGATCAACTTCATGTTTGTATCTAAGCTTTTTCTCTTAATTCCGCTTTTTTTTGTTCTGTCACATATCATAAATGTATGTTCTGCGCTATATAATTTTTTGATATTGAATATTCTTATAGGCCTTACTAACTGAGAATTTTATTCGTCGAGAGACTGTCGTACACGAAAACGGCAAAGTATTATCGGATCCCGAAGACAATAAATACCACATATTCTTCACGGATCTTCACCAAGAAAAGATCCCCAGAAATCGCGAGCTAAAAATCAGTAAAAAGTTGTACGAATTTTATACGGCCCCCATCACTAAATTTTGGGCTAATTCTGTAAGAATAGTGATTACGTGTTTGTTCTAACTTATCGATTTCGTTGCCATTTTAGATTGCGTATTTGATATTTTTGATAATATTCAGTTACACTATTTTGGTAAAAATGACCGAAATACCTTCGTGGCAGGAATGGCTGGCTATCGCTTTCTTATGTACATTTGGATGTGAAAAACTGAGAGAACTCTTTTCGTCTGAACCTGTAGGAATCAAACAAAAACTAGCCGTTTGGTGTTGGAACTTGTGGAACCCGTGTGATATGGCGGGCGTTTTATTCTTTCTGATTGGTGTCGCTCTGAGGTTTAGGTCCAGTACCTTCGAAGTCGGAAGAGTTTTTTATTGCGTTAACAGTATTTACTGGTATTTGCACATTCTTAACATTCTCAGTGTGAACAAGTACTTAGGTAGAACACGACTAATATTAAAACAGTAGTTTGCTGACTGTAAATGTTGTAGGTCCTTTGGTTACAATGATGGGAAAAATGGTAAAAAACATGATATACTTCGTGGTTCTTTTATTGATAGTTTTAATGAGCTTCGGAGTAACACGTCAAGCTATTCTATTTCCTAACCATGAGGCAGACTGGGGAATTGCTAGAGATGTATGTCACTTGTATTGCTGTCACGAACGTTGCATATCATGATTTATTTAACCAGGTGTTTTTGGAACCATATTTCATGTTGTACGGAGAAGTATACGCGGATAAAATCGATCCACCTTGTGGAGACGGAGAGGATGAGAAACCGTGCCAAACTGGTCGTTGGGTTTCACCGCTGATTATGTCAATCTATCTATTGGTGGCAAATATTTTATTAATTAATCTACTGATTGCGGTCTTCAATAACATATTTAATGAAGTCAACGCTGTCGCCCATCAAGTGTGGATGTTTCAGAGATTCACGGTCGTTATGGAGTACGAACAGAAACCACTACTTCCTCCACCATTCATCATATTTTGTCACATTTACTTACTCTTTAAGTATGTCAGACGGAAAATGGAGGGGAAAGAAGAAAGTTACGACAATGGGTTAAAATTATTTTTGGATCGAGACGAAATGGAGAGATTGTATGATTTTGAAGAAGATTGTGTTGAGGGCTATTTCGCGGAACAAGAGTTTAAGTTGCAACAGTCGACTGAAGAACGCATCAAGGTGACAACAGAACGGATAGAACATCTCACTCAGGTTAGTTAACATCAAAACATTAATTGAAACGTTGGAATAGCTATAGGGTAGTTTAGTAACTGCGAATTTCAGCAATATTTTTAGATACCTAAATTGCGTGTACCTGTTCCCAGTGACTTTCAATTCATTTATTTATAATTATTTGTACACGGTTCGAAATGGCGCTCTAAATAAAAGCCTGCAATTACCGCAAACAAAACAGAAACCAGTCTAAACTTTGTGCTGATTTTCCATTTTTGTTTAGTACATACGCCATTTCATGTGTGTAGTTTTCCAAAAGTCGTAAATGTCATGCCCACCAAATGTTATTTCAGCGAACAGCAAATTCTAAGAGAATAAACCACGTTATTTGGAGGATATTTACGCTAGTATTTTATGCAACTTCACGATTTTCATATATCGGATGAACATTTAAACCTGGCGTCGAAGAAGGTCGTGATATAAAATCGTCTCTGAGCGATTCAGCAGTTCGTCTCTCTTGCAGTTTCAGTCTTAGAATGGTTATGACTATCAAGCGAATATCACGATTCGGTTTTAGAGTCCCATCAACCGAACGACAATAATTAGAGGGCAAAGCAGACGACTTTAATTTCGCGTAATGGGCGTAGTCTCGTACCTGGTTTCTTATTATTCGGTTGCTGTTGTGATGTTCATGACAATTGGATATAGCAGGTTTCACATAACACCGAAATAACGACGTGCGCTTTTGTTTTCATGATGAATGTGACTTGATACCGGTTTTAAATGATAAGTAGTAGATAAAATGTTACTAGTGGACCATTCAGAAATCATTGAAAAACGGCCAGAAAATCAAGGAAACGATCAAAAAAGGGCTCAAAATCCTTAAAAAAACAATTTTAGATGTCCCAAAAATACCAGTAAAAATTGGACGCACGACAAAACCGTTGAAAATAATCCAAAATTAAGCATAATTACCTTAAAAGCACACAAAAAACATTACAAATTCGCTAGTTTTTAAGCACCCCAAAATGGATTTTTATTTCTGGACCAGAGCATTTGGCGCAATAAAATCAGTAAAAAAATCTCTAAAAACAATACAATTTCCTAAAATACTCCAATTTTTAGACAGCCCAAAGTAGCTCAAGTAGACCACCAAAAATTGGCCATACGAAAGAATGGTTGAAAATCATCAAAAAGGACCCAAAAAAAATCCCAAAATCTCTTGTTTTCAAACAATCCAAAATGGGTTTTCATTTCCGGACCAGTCCAATTGTCATATGCAAAAAAAAAAGGAAAACAACGCCAAATCAAGGCGGGAAAGTTGAAATAATAGATTGGTTTTATTATTTAAAAAGACATGCCGATCTCTGGATTTTCACTTCCACAATGAATAAATTTCAGTGCTTCAGTAAGTAGTTACTAACACATCTTTCTTGTAGAGGTGCTTGTAGAAAGTAATTTGTCACTTGTTGTCAAGAGTGTTAAGTAGTATTTACAAAGTAAATAATTAATGAATTAACAAAAATAATAATAATGTATTTATTTCCATTTAACATTTTACAAAAAATTAAACGATATGAGGTACATATTATAAATAACTGCAGCAATAAAAAACGTAATATTACACCTACATTTTTTAAATTAAAATGAACAGAAATTTAAAAGTTAAAAACTAAAATATATAAGTTAAATTAAGTAAAAATGTTAAATGCCATTTTAATATTGTTAATGCAGCTTTTTCTTTAATGGACAAGGAGTTTTGGAACGCTAATTTTGATAATATGTGATGAAGAGTGTCTGTTGTTAAATTCGAATGTGCTACTTTGTAACTCACCTTTTTAAATAATTTTATGTCCTGGTCTAACTGTGTCAGCGTCAGTCCTACATTAGGCAGTTTTGACGTCAAAACTTTGAAATTATTCGTCCTTTGTCCTGTTGACATTTTTTATTTCATTCAGAATTTTGATTCTGATCTAGAACCTAAATTTTCATACTTCTTGCAAACACCTAGCAGACGTTTTAAAGTTATCGTAAGCATGGTAAATTTTTAACCAAAATATACGTATTTGTTTATATGACGTCATCTCAAAATTTTGCCGGATAATCCCTATCTAAAATATGCAACATATGATGAGCCCATACTTGTGATTTATCATTCCACTCATATTTTTTGACATTGCTTATAGACGGTGACAAAAAACTTAATGAATAAGTCAATTGATTTGATTGATTAAAACAGGAATTGCAAAACCGAGTGCTTTGAAATCTTGCAAACGTTTTAAAGTAGTTTTTAGGTAAATCTCTAACCAAAATATATTTGTTTATTATTCGTAAAAATTGATGACGTCATCGCAAAATTTTGCCGAATAATTCCTATCTAAAATGTGCAAAACATAATTCATTGAGACATTTTGTTGACCGATTGCCAAATTGTAAACAGAGAACACTTTAAACAATTATTGTAGTCTCACTCGTAAGTAGGACATAAAATGTTACTTCTGAACCGGGACATTTGGCGTCTTAAAAAACAAGCCAAAATCCTAAAAATTTAGCTGTTTGCCAAAAGCAAACGACCGAAAAAGGCCTAAACCTCTCAAAAAGCATTAATTTTTATGCCCCGAAAAGTATCCAAATATCTGTAGACCACCAAAAATTGGGTACATGAAAAAACAAGGCAGAATCCTACAAATTTAGTAAACAACCAAAAAAGACCTAAAAAAACTTGCAAAATGTCTTGTTTTTAAGCACCCCAAAGTGGCATTTTATTTCTGGACCAGGGCATTTGGCGTCTTAAAAACAAGACAGAATCCTACAAATTTAACTGTTTCCCAAAAGTCAACAACCGAGAAAGGCCTAAAACCTCTCAAAAAGCATTAATCTTTATTCACTCCAAAATCTGTAGACCACCAAAAATTGAGCACACGAAAAAACCGTTGAAATCTCCCAAAATAATGCAAAATTATCTCAAGAACGCCTTAAAAAACTGACAAAATACCTTGTTTTTAAACACTCCAAAACGGCTTTTTATTTCTGGACCAAGCCATTTGGCGCATGCAAAAAAAGGGAAAAACAACACCAAATCAAGGAGGGTTGGTACCAGGACATTTGTTGTCTTAAAAACAGTATAGAATCTTACAAATTTAGCTGTTTCCTCAAAAGTAAACAACCGAAAAAGACCTAAAATTCTTCAAAAAATCACTAATTTTTGTGCACCCCAAAAGTACCCAACTATCTGTAGTTTTTAGTAACAAATTAATATTTTAGAGATTCAATTTTGACCAGCGTTTTTATCATTTTAGCAGCAAACTTACATTCTCATTTTATTCCAAATTATATTTTGGAAATGAAAAAAAACAATTTTTAAAGAAAGGTAAAAAGTACCTTTATTGTTTTCAACTGTATAAATTCACATTATTTTCATTGTAAAACGACTCACCCTGTATTCATAGAAATCATACATTTTATAAAATTTTAATAAATATTTGTCTTGGAATCGAATCAGATATCATTCAACTCAAGCAGATCTGCGACACTCGGCCCAATCTCCGTATTCGTTCTTTCTCGGCACTAGCCTGGAAAACGTCATATATTAATATTTAGGGGGTGATACTTTTTCTATCACCCAGTATAATTGAAGACCAGAACTGAGTTTTCCCCGCGCAGTTATAACTGTGCACGCTAAAAATCAAGCCAATTTTGATTCCAACAGACTTGACTGCACATGCCACATTCTTCCCCACACACTTGCAGTTTTAACTGTACCCCGTGGCACGTACATTCAAGTCTTGACGCTTCCCCCTGTGTGTGTGGCCGTCTTAATGATGCAAGGAGATAGGAAATAATCATTTCAAAAGAAGATTAATCGTTTGAAAATAAAATATTGTATTTCGTACGGAGTTTAAGTGACTTTATGTGACTCGTATGGACTTAATTCGCCTCGCTATCGCTCGGCGCTTAATCGTCCATCCTCCGTCACATACAGTATCACTTAAACTCCTAATGAAATAAATATCTATTTTTATCAAATAATGGTATTTTTAGACTCGACTAATTTATTTTCGATAAATAACGAAACAATGCAAATAATCTGATTCTATAGCGGCTATGTTCTCCAGGCCACCTTTCTTCGCCGCACGCTTCAGTCGAAGTGCGTGGTGGCAGCTTTCAGTTCAAACTTATCCTGATATCTAACAGTTTCCATATATCATATATCAAATCTAACTCATATTTTTTAAAATTTTATAAATTTTTCATTTTTCAGCGGAAAATCTCAAATTTAGATTTTTCTTTTACACTTAGCCCCTTATTCATTTCTACTTTTCAACAGACCATAAACTGTACTGATTTACGTCGGGAAATACATCACAGGAGATCAAACATTCACATATAAATAGATAAGAAGAAACATACCTGTGAAAGACAAATAAGTAAAAAATCCAACCATAATTACAAAGGGATGCAAATTATACTATAATTAACCCAAATGTTAACCATTTTATGAATCACAATATGAATACAATTTTTACCCAACATTCTGATTCACTACATGAAAATCTTTCAAGAAACGTATTAAAATCGATTTTTGGATGAGCTTCTTTCTTTCCTTTTTCTAGAAAATGGCGTATATCGTCTCCAACATTTAATAGATCAAGACCTTCTGATATGAACAAACGGTTAAGGTCCATTCACCTTTGTAGTGAATCGCTTTCTCCCTGTCTCTTCACATAGCCTTCGATGTGGCGTATATCTTTGATCTTATTATTTTCTTTTAAAAACACTTTTTCTATTATTCGGTTTTTTAAATTATTTGCATATTGTCTTATTGCCAGAACTGAGATCCGTGCATTTAATTGATCAAATGCTTTTTCTCTTTCTATTCTTTCTATTTCAACTTGAGCCGCTAAATGTTTTATCAAATCATTTACTCAAGAAAAAAACTAAATGTGCCAAGAAATATCAGTGAAGTAACGCAAACGAGAAACCGTAGTTTTCCTATTGAATATCTCAATTCGACTGTAAATAAAAAAACTAACAAAGACAGAATTTTGCAAATCTAAAAATATTTCGAGAAATTCCCTCAATGTGGGGCTCAATTCGGTTGGCATAAAGATTGCATGTAAAACGAGAACAAATGAGAACAAACGGGAACAATCCGGAACAAAAAACAACAAATTCGGAAAAAAAAGAGAGAAAAAGTAAAATAAAAAATAAAAAAATATTCGATAATAAGAACATAAAGCAGGTAGTCGTAAAAATATAGGTTTAGATGAAGAAGCAGATAAATGAACAAACTAGTTTCATACATTCCTAATGACGAGAAAGAAAATTGGAAACAAGATTTAAAACCTATTATTACTGAAATAGACAGATTAGAAGATGGAGCAAAAATATGTAGTTGGTTTCAAACAAGAAGTTGTAGATAAATATATTGCAAGAAAAGTAGGTAATTTATTCCTTGAACAATTAATTATGACTGTCTGTGAACTAGAGTCCGCTAATAATAAAATAGATAAATTGGAATATAAGTTAAACAACTGCAATAATTATGATCCTAAGAAATTGGCAGAATTAAGAAACAAAACAGTAATAATATGGAAAGTACGGTATTCAAGAATTTAAATATATTCAATGAAGAATATCCAAAATTCCGAAAAAAGTTTTCAAGTCTTATTCAACAAGTTAATAAATTAAAAATTATGTTTATTATCGTAATTGTTATTATTGTTTTCTTAATTTATTACTTCAACACTAATAAAAAAATAAAAAGCAATTTATTCAAAAATGTCCATGTACCTATGATGATACTAATACGTGGCCATATGCTAATGTATCTGTAGAATTGGGTAAAAGATGTCTTTCCAACTTGAGACTTTTTCTTTACTTCTTCAGTAAAAATATCATGTTTATGACTCCTGACCACTTTTTGTCTATGAAAGTATTCTTTTTTCAATACTGCTTTCTTAATACCTTTTAATTTTTTCGAAACAGAATTTTCGGTTCTGTAACTGTACAATTTTGATCTTAAACCTATGTACTCTAATATCTTAATACCATTCAATTCATTCGCCGTCGTTCAATGATTTTTGCATGCGCCAATTGGTCTGGTCCATTTTATGTGCTATTGATCTTAAATGATATAACACGAACGAAAACAAAATGTTAGGTAAGGGGAAAATTCTGAATTGTATCAAACAGTCGTCGGAATTTCCTCAACTAAAGAAACCAAATTGGCGTTTAATGAAGAAATTTTCCAGTTGACAAATAAGTACACATAAAGACAGAAGACTATTTAGAGAGTAATTGTGTACCAGTGTTAAAACACTCAGTTTATGTTACTCGTAGAGAAACCGTGCGGGTAAAGTAAACAAACAACTTTAACACGCTTTTTATTCCAGCCTTTGTAGATTGTTAAAAAAGAACAGAAATGTTTTAATTTGCGAACAATTAAAAAAAGCTCTCATTTTTTTCTTAATTTTTAACGAACAGTGATAATTCATAAATCTATGCGTGCTCCTCATATTGTTTCCGTGTCCTGTAACAGTTATCTTACGAACAAAAACGAAAAAAAAAGTGTTGTCTTTTGTCGTGTTACACATATTTTTAAAAATTTCTTGCCACCGTTATTTATGTGTTTACGTTTTTGTCTTGTAAAAGACAATGCTTTGTTAAACATATAACTCTATAAATTCCAAATGTTACAAATTTTGACAACAGAACATAATTTGTTATTATATATGTTTTTTTCTACTACATATATATCACTGTTACCCTTTTTTTTGTAGAAAGTAGAAGATATCAATACAAAAGAAAACATCCACACGACTGCCTTACAAAATTTAGAGATCAGATGTCGACGTCTCGTCGAACAAATGCAAGAAGTTTCCAACGACCTGGATAAAATTCGATTATCGATGGAAAGCCAACCTCCGACGGCCGCGCCGTCGTTCGACGCGCCCTTTGTCCGCGAAAGAACAGTCAGTGAACCCGTGGAGTCTGTAATAGAAGATATTCCTAAAGCCGCGACTGCACCGACAAAACGGAAGCCAATAGTCAGATCACTAACGGAAGTAAGACCAGACGCATACATATTTGATAATGGACAACATATCGAGTATAGATACGACGAGGAGGAAGAGTGCAACGAAGAAATGGAAGGTTTACCTAAATCAGGTCGGTAACTAGAGAAATACATTCACGATTTAAAAGAACTGAAAGTTTGTGTTCGCAGAGAGCGAACAGCCGCTCACACTCGAGAGGCAAAGAACCAGGAGCACGGACTCAAAAACTTCAAACGACTCCGCCGAAGTTTCAGCGGATGATTTGGGTGCTTTAAGTTTGGAAGTTTTACGCAACTGGGCGATTCAGAAGAGGAAAGATTCGACGGGAACGGGGCGACGCAGCTCAGATAGCGGAAATGGTGAGAATGAAAGTAAATTGAGATTTTTTATAATATTCATTTGATTTTTGTAATTAGTAGTTTTTAAACGGAGAAAATTGTTTGGTACGTTTTATTGTGTCTGTACTAAACACGCACGTCCAGTTTGGCAAACCGCAAAACTAACTATGTGTGGACACAAAAGATGGCACCAAAACACATTTTTTCTAACCCAAAGTTTTAGGTACCTGCTTGTAATCACTAACTGCTTTAAGGCATATTTTTAATTCACAGTGCTTCTACTTACAAGTTGCTGTACATATCTAACTGCTTTTGTATCTTTCTACCAGCATGTGAAAAACTCCTACAACATTTTTCACCACAAAGCCTATGTTTCTACCACTATTACAGGAAAGAGGGTACGTTTCCACGCTGCATTCACTTTGATTTATTTATTTAAATATTTCGAAGTCATAAACTTTCTATTGCAAAGAAAAAAAAAAAGAGAATACAGCCACTCGCGTATTAATGACGCTTACTCCGTCCAAAACGTTATAAAATTGAACATGCTCTTTAAAAAATAAACTAAAGTTTTATGGATTTACGGAGTGATTTTATCTCCTACGCAGAGTTAAACAAAATTGTATATATTTTTGAACATAAAATATAAACACGACGTTAACGTTTTGATATTCTTTTGTAAAAATTTTGTAAATAGTATTTCATTTTTTAACCTAGTTCAGTTCAGACTCACAAAAATCTACATGTGTAAGGGTTTGGAAAGAAAAAAAAAACAGATCCACATTAACATGAATAATAACATGAGATTTTTTTGGTTGAAAGACTTCCCTATTTCTATAAAATAACCCAATATATTGGTTGAAAGACTTCCCTATTTCTATAAAATAACCCAATAAATGTCATGAAAGTAAGTCACACCTGTAAATTTTGATTAACATGTCTTTATAGTATCTTACTTACCGACACCGGTCGTGATACAACATTGTAAGGATTCGACATGCAATTTTTTAATAGACATAAACACGTTTACTTGTCAATAAAACGAATTTTGTTTAACACAAATACATTCATTAATTGTTGCAGTCTAGCCGTGACCCCGTTAAAAACAAATCAATAAAACTATGTTTTAGAGCAACTGCAATACTGCTACACTAACAAAACCACATAAATCGTAACTTAGAGATAAACACATTTTGTCTGACCACGCATATAAATGCAGCCTTTATCTCTCTTGCATATGAATAAAAAATAAATAAGACTAAAACGTCCTTTGATTTTTCTAGAAACTGATAATTCAGTGAAAAAACATAACTCTGGTAGATATTGGTGAAATTCAAACGTCAAGTTTAAATTTAGTGAAAAATGATTTATTAATAAAATAATCTAGAGTTGACTCTCTGACATTCATTTCGATGATAATTTATTATATTTTTGTATATTTATTGTCATCACAATATTGTCAATATTGTCTTAGTTGGAGGCCATGTTTTAGACAAAATTACAACATCTGACGTAAACCCAAAACACTGAAGAGACTTAAGTTCTATCACAATAAATAATTTCTTTTGATTTTTGGTTAGTCATAAGTGAACTGTTAAATTAATTTGTTGGGCTAAAATGTCATAGATCTATTTGAAAAACACTGACTAATATTTTCGACGAAAACTCCTAAAAACGTTATAAACTTTATGAAGCATTTCGCAGTAAATACTTAATTAAATGTCAATTGCAAAAAAATTCTACACTAAACGCATTTGCACGGATGGGTCTTGGGCATTGACAAATAACATTTTCACAACTTTTTCAAGCATGTTTCTTTAGGTAGCAGCTATGCAACGTATTTCCTCGACAACTGCGTGGAAATTGTTTCGTAACTGTCAGTACCCTTGGGATATTCCTGCTGAAACTGTAAACTGTTGCGTTTGGCATATTACACTTTACATATAGATACATTTTACGTTAAATGGGTTTAATCACGATCTAGTGCATGCAAAAAATTGTATCAACATTATTAACCTAACATTTTTAAAATTTTTATTAATCTGATTAAAGAATCGATTTTATGTGGGCAAGCCTAATATAAATATTGTCGCCGCTTAGTTTTAATGTCATTATTTACAAAGTTGTAGTAAATTAATTTTCATCGATTTTGGTTGCTCAAAAATTTCAACAATTAAAGACTTGTGTTGTAAAAAATAAAAATATGATAGCATAATAAAATAATCCAGGTCAGTAATAACAAGCAAATCGTACTTTATCGATTTTAATAAGTGAGACAATAACATTCAATGTTGTTTAGTGCGACGTCACTGTCAGATTCAGTTACTGTGTGTCTTAGGATCATATCAGCACAAACCATTTGCTCTCTGGTCGCATTATTCAAGTTTATACAAAACGTATTTCCCACACTAATTTATATATTAAGGCAAAATAAATCGTATATAAGAGCCTTAAAGCACAACTCTAACGGTTATAACTTATATTACAATCGCAATCGCTTAAAAATTTGATCGTTTTTGGTAAAACTGTCGTTTTTAGGCGAAATAAGACGGTTATTTTGTATATCTATCAAGAATAAATAAATGTAAAACCATTGGTTCATTGAGTTACTATAACTTTAAATAAAGTAATATACAGCTTTAGGATAATTTGCACCATGATAAAATATTAATTCATACCTAACTTTTGTTTTTGACCTATTCGTTATTAGTCATACCAAAAAATTAATAGATTAAGTTCCTTAAACGGCGGCACGCGCATGTGCAGTAGTTTTGTTCAGAACGTGTAACGTATTTTAATGTTGAACTGTGGTAACTCATTATTATCATTTGGGTGCTTTTACTGTAAGTGGCGATAATTTAATATAGTCATAAAACGATTCAAAATCAAAAGGATATCAAAATCGTTATCGAACTCAATGTTTTGTTAAAATTGCAGGTTCAATTTTTTATGGATCTTCAACCCAGCTGCAGTTTATAGTTAGTTGCATTAGTCAGGAATTCGATATTTGATGAAAATTACGTCTTCAAAAAATTCCAAAATTAAAACCAATCATTAAAATATATTAAAATTCTAAAAGTGTCTACCATTGTTAAGAAGTGGCGAATCTGCAGCAGCATTTTTAAATTTCATAGGCCATTGGATGCACGAAATATTTATGAACCCTGTAGAATTGATGAACAATTTATAGTAGACTTCTTCTGTCTAAATGTTAGTTTAGATTATGCACGAAAGTCTGTTTATGAATTCCAAACTTTTGATGAATTAAGCGTCATTTTAGATTTTTAAATTTTGCTGTCAACTGAAGCATTCTAAAAAAGTGATTGGATTCTGAGCCAATATTCGCATTTAGAGTTTATTGGTGTAACTTATTAGATTTATTAGAAGAAATTAAAATAATAAACAAGCTTAATGGTTATCTGTACGTAGATGTGTTAAAATTAAACATAAGCGTGCACATTTCATCGCACCTCCACTAACTGCACTATTTTTAGCATGTTTAAAAAAAAGGTAAATGTAGAGTACGTAACCACGACGCTGTTCGGATTGTTCATACCGTAATAAAAAACGTTGAACAGTCCGTAAAATTTTTCACCAGACTTTATGTAATTAGATCGACTGGACAAATAAACAAAATCCGGGAAAAGTTCCATTCGCTTCATTGTTTGCTTGTTTGTAAAACATCCGAATTTCAAATTCCAGTTTAAAATAAGATAAAATAATAACGTGAAATTTCATTCGTTCTTTACTTCAAATCTCGGCAAAATGTGGTGGTGGAAACTAGTTTCACGTCTGCAACCTTTACTTGATACAAAGAATGAACTCCTCAAATATTTTGCTAAAATTCAACTTCCGCAAAAATAACGCGACCCGCACGAGGGTCTACAATAATCCCTTACCTTCTTAGGAGAAGAGTCGGCCCATGGAAGCAAACGCAGCTTAAACAAACGGCAACTTTCCCATACTCATTCAGAACCCGAAACAAGCGATCCTCCTCCGACTGCCACCCATCCGACGCGTCCCGTTTTGGAGCGTAGTGTCACGTTCACCGAACCGAGAATCAAAGTCATACCTCCAAACCTCGCAGGTGGTAGTAACCGTACAGCAATGCTAATGCACATGCATACAGAATACACAAGCATCACCGACGAACTTGAGAGCGTGTGCGGCCTGCTTAGCCCTCCTAGGTCGCCAGGGCTGTTATCTCCTCCGCGACCAGAACAATCACCTCCAAGTAAGTTACACTGGTCGACAATGGTGTCATCCTTGATGTGCTTTGTGAACAATTATTATTGATGATGGTGTTTTATTCACTGAAGTACAATTGGGTGCAAGGGTAGGACGGAAAATAAGTATCACAAAGCCGGATTTGTCGTTTGTAATAACTCAACAGTGCTGTAAATTCTCAAAGATTGAACGGCAGGAATTGAGTGAGTGGATGTTGCTACTAATTCTTTAGACGGATGCAATTGGTTTAACTATAAATCTTAGATGAAAAATTGTATTTTTACTACTTTTTAACTAAAATTTATCGTGGTAAATATCTCCTGCGACATCTTACATATGTTCTATAATTAGAATAAAAATTATAATGAATCACAAGGAAACTCAGCTTGTGAATTTTCCTGCACTGCCATTATAGAGTTGAAAAAAGCCAACTGTAAATATACTTACTGGCACGAAAAACGAGCCACACTTATTATTATTATTTTAGCGTGCAAAATAAAGTACGATTTCGGCTGCAATACTTTGATGTTATTGTTACGATGATGGTTAATTAAAATCGGCGTGGGTAAAACTCAACAATTTATTCTTCAACCAAACAGATTTATTCGATTTATACACAGCGAATAATGCTGACTCAACTTAATTCGTACTCAGTAACGACTCCTGGATTACACTAGACTGACTGCTCCCGAAGGTGGGGTCTGTTTAAACCCATACGTTCCTGTTTGGATTTTTTGGAGTACCCATCGCGACTTCCGCTTTCAGGCTTTTCTTTAGACGAGCGCCGCCCGGTTGCCGTTACCCATCGTCGCCGTACATACTAGAAAGCCCTCGAAAAAACCCATGGGCGTCGTATGGGTTTATTTCGTAACATTATTGTAATATTTATATCCAAAAAGAACTAAAAAAAATGATCCAAGGGTATTTCTCGTTTTTTGAAAAATTATAAAACAAATTTTGGGATTTTTATTTTCTGATAACCACTATAAGTAAAAACCAGTAGCGTAAACAACACTCCGACAGCTTTTTTGATTTGAATTTTTCAATTGTTGATTTTTCATTTTTTTTGTTTCTTCAGTTTTTTGATTTGCAATTTTCCGAGTTTTCAAGTTTAAGTTTCTCGAGTTTTCAATTTTTAATTTTTCAATATTTCGATTTCCAGTTTTTTGTTTCGGTTTATTCTTTTTTTAATTATTCGGTTTTTCAATGTTTCGATTTTATAGTTATTTTCCGATTTGCAATTTTTCAATTTTTCATCCTTTTTTGTTTCTTCAATTTTACGAAATGCGACTCTTCGAGTTTTCTTTTCTAAATTTTTCAATTTTTGGATTTTGCAATTTTTCGATTTACAATTTCTCGAATTTTTCGTTGCGGTTTTTTATTTTCTTTGTTTTTACAACTTTCCGATTTTTCAATGTTGCGATTTTACAACTTTTTGTTTTTTCAATTCTTAGTTTCTTCATTTTTTTTGTTTCTTGAATTTTACGATATACCCACAACTCTTCGAGTTTTCATTTTTAAAATTTTCAGTTTTTCGATTTTCCAACTTTGGAAAGTAGAACATCTTTTCACTACTATTTTTGTATCTTTAATTTTTCGATTTGCAATTTTTCGTTTCGATTTTTTATTTTCTTTATTTTTTCAATTATTCGATTTTTCATCGTTTTATGTTTCTTCAGCTTTACGATATGCGACTCCTCGAGTTTTCATTTTAAAATTTTTTAGTTTATGGATTTTTCAACTTTTGGATGTTTCAATTTTTAAATTTTGTAATTTTTCGATTTGCAATTTCACGAGTTTTTCAATTTTTAATTTTTCTATTTTTTGTTTCGATTTTTTTTTCTTTATTTTCAGTCATTTGATTTTTAAATGTTTCGTTTATCCAGTTTTTGGATTCGCGATTTTTCAATTTTTCATTTTTCTTGTCTCTTCAGTATTTACATTTTTTCCATTCACAATTTCTAGAGTTTTCGATTTTTAATTTTTCAATTCTTCAATTTTTCATTTCTTCAAATTTTCGATTTGCAATTTTTAGTTTCGTTTTTTCTTTCTTTATTTTTAGAATTTTTAAATTTGTCGCCAATGTCAATTATTCGATTTTTCAGTGTTTTGATTTTGTAATTTTTTGTTTTTTCAGTTTTTCATTTTTCTTGTTTCTTCAATATTTAGATTTTGCTGCAATTTTTCGAGTTTTCGATTTTTCGTTTGTTTTTTTATTTTCTGTATTTGTACAATTTCTAGATTTTTCAATTTTTCACTTTTTTTTCGTCAATTTTGCAATAAACTTTTCGATTTTTTCATTGTCCAACTTTTGGAAAATAGAACGCTTTTTAGATTTTGCAATTTTTCGAGTTGCAGTTTCACGAGTTTTCAATTTTTAATTTTTTTAATTTTTCGGTTATTCAGTGTTCCGATTTTATAATTTTTCATTTTTTAATTGTTCGTTTTTCAATTCCATGATTTAAAAAAAAAGCACTTTTTCATTTATTCGACTTTTCAAATAAAAAAAAATGGAAACATTGCAAAATTGTAAAATAGAAAAATCAGAAATGAAAAAGTATAAAATGAAAAGTTTGAAAATCCAAAAATTGGAAATGAAAAATTGAAGAACAAAAATTGAAAAATCGAAAGATAAAAAACTGGTACTTATTAAAAATCGAAAAAAATTAAATATGTATTGCAAAATCAAAATACTGTAAATCAAAGAAAAATCGAATAATTGGGAATCCAAAAATTGCACAACTGAATAATTAAAGATTAAAGTTTTGAAAAATTAAATAAACGAAACATTATAAAATCGAAAGAACATTGAAAATATAAAGGAAATAACAAAATGGAAAATAAAAATCCATAACTTGAAAAATTCAGAAAACGGAAAATTGAAAAATCGAAAAATTAAAAAAATTAAACTTAAAAAAACGCAAAATTGTTATATCTAAAAATTAATCGAAGGTAAATAAATCTCGATTTTTCGAAAAATTGTAAAATTTGAATTTGCGAATTTTATTTTTTTATAACTCTTATAAGTTAAAAGAAAGATACAGGTGTTCCAAAAATAACGCACCAACTCAACGATACATGATTTAATTCACATGTCGAAGTCGGGAAAAAGCATTAAAAAAAATTGTTTACGTCAATTTGACGTTCACTTACAAAAATTCATCCTAAATAATTTTTAAGTTTTTGTAATGTTATAAAATGAAGACAAGATGCAAAGTGTTGTACAATTTTGGCTTTTTTTTTTTCAAAAATCTGGATGTATAGGGTGAAAAATCGGCACAAGGTCAGGAGTATCTTATTTTATAAAATGTAAAAATATATATACGCCCAGGAAGTAAATATACATTTTAATAGAAAATGATAAAAATTCGACAGAGTTGGAAATGATTGATCATTAAAACTGTTTAAGGACGTCAATAACGGATACTTACGCTGCGAGCCTGTAAAACTGCTACCATTCTCCAGGGCATTCAATTGTCTATTTATTCTTTTTTTTTTCTAAAACCACGTTTCGAAGCTCCCAATTAATATACTGGTCAAGAAACAACATCAAAATAAAGCACAGTAAAAACGTCTGTACTCAGAAAAATATTAAGTGGCCCGTTTTTCGTGCCAATGATTGTATATGAAATGAAATTTTACGATCATCATTCGAAACAACATCTTCTGTTTCTACAATATTGTGGACCAGTGTTATTCTGATCAAACATTATAATCATTTTCATGGTTCGCTTCGTTGCGCTGTTAGCGGAGCTGGGGTAGACATCAGATTCCAACAGTTTTCCTTTGCCTAACTTCTAACACTAACGCTAATAGAATTCTGTAACTGTAGGTCAACGTAGACGCCATCCATCAGAAATGTCCAATCCAGAAATAGCTATCAATTTTGAAAAAGAACATCTACGAAGCGCCGAGGAATGCGATTACATGGTAATGGAAAATCTCATCCAGAGACGTTATGAGGAAGAAGATGAAGATGGTGAACACACTCCTGTTAATTCAGACTTACTCAGCGTTGTTGCCGAAACCCGTGAATTTCGAATCAGTACTATTGGGTCGCGGCCCTTAGTACGATCCAGTGCTATAGAAAATGACGTTCAACCTCAAACAGGTGACTATTATAATTGTTTTTTTTTTTTTAATTTTTTTGGAAAAACTATTTGCAATACCTACGTTATTGCAGTTTAGTTTGACAGTTACAATTTTAAAAGTAAATTTCATAACCCACTAGAGGACTTTTTTCGATCATATGGTATATGTATTATTAAATAGTACACAAGTGGTCCATATTTCTGTAGTTTATCTTTATAAACAAAAAGGTTGAAAGGGGGGTAGGTTTTAGATGCAACACCCTGTACATAACAAAACAACAAGAACAAAATTTTGACGGTAGTGTTTTGGCCTTCACTTTAATTTCAAATTTGGAGTCCCCTGAGTGAAAGAGAAAAAAAAAATAAAAATTTAAACTTAAACCAAGATGCGACATTAAGGATCCATTGAATCAATAAAAAAATAATTTGGTGCACTACAAAGTACACACGCGCGACACGGAACAAATTTGAAAAATGTCACCTGAGTACAAATCTGTCCGCGATTGATGCACCTACTTGTAAGGATGTAAGGTTTGCAACAAATGAATAAATGAATTTAATAATTTAGAAATTCCCCAATAAAAAAAATTCAAACCAAATTCATAATAAACTTTTCAAGACGTTACGTTACTGGTTCGATGTAAATTCTCCTTTCCCAGGTGTTCCAGCTCCACCAACCTTAATCTGTCTTGAAGAATTATTGATTCTAAACGGCTGGAAACATCAGATATATTCACCTAAGGGATACCTTTATAAAGTAGAACATTTTTCAATTCGACCCCAATTTTTGCAGCCATATAATTTCATTGTCTCCTTCCTTAGCTGATCATCGGTCGATCTGAAAAAAATTACAAAAAAAGCTTAAACATTGTCCGCGGATATGGTTGAAGCACACGACGTTTTTGCCATTTTCGACGAAGCAAATGTTAATTTCAAAAATTTCTAAACGTTGTAAAGATTCATATTCCAAAAGGAAAACAACAGAGTAGACACACTTGCAAGGAGAAATTTGTTTAAATTTAAGAAATTAATCTCTAACTTTTCGAGAAGATAGAACGAAAGAAGTTCTGAAAACTTTCAGATTGTTGGTGTAAAAATTGTTCACACTTCAGAACTGAGGGATAAGGTAGCATCCAACGATCAGCTAAGGATTTATGACTTTACGAAACTGCAATAAGTATAAATCTCTAGACAAATTTGGAAATATTTAAGAGTAGGAATAGGGTGTATAATGCAAGTTCTGATCTCATCCTCCCTTCCCCCTTCTTCCTCTTCTGGAAGAAGAAATAATATCGGATATACTTTAATTGTTTGGTTTTAAATATTAATAGAAGAAGAAAGAACTATTTTAATTATATTAGATGAACACACTTATTCACGTAGTGTATGTCTTCATGTTATCCACTTTCTAGCTCCCTTAAAGCCTCGCGGAGTATTTCTCGTCTATGTGTGATATTGTAATAAATAATTGTGATTCCAGGTAACGATTCGGCCGAACCTGGAGACCGCCAAGATTCTGTTGAATCCACTGACATGGCAACAGCTCTTTTGAACCAACTAGCTATGCCTCAAAGACCCTCAATAGTCATGGACTCGTCACAGCTACCTATCCAAAGAGAAGTTCAAAAGGCTGATTCTACAAATAGTCTTCATATGCAATCGGAGACTATGTGTTAATTCTATTCGTCTTTCGGTGTCTTTCTTCACGTAAACTTCACTCTAAATAGCGAATGGTCACGCGTAAGGTATTCATATCACTACTGCACTTTCTTTTGTACTGTTTGCCTACTTGTAATAACAATTTTATAATGGTATATACACTGTGTCCAACTCATTGTACGTAAGGCAACGTAGAGTCAAGCAGGAGTAGATTGTAGGCTAGTAAAAAACCAGTAAAAATTCGTAACAATGAAATTGGGTGCATTAAATCCAGTGCTAAAAAAAATTTGTAGACACTAATAATTTTCAATGTTCTTATTTTTTTTTATCGTTCCTGACCTATTATTTGCCAAAGATATTAACTTTGATAAACTCTGAATTTATTAATGTAATTATTTTAAATTGTACAGATAATCCCGATCTTCCTAAATAATGTAAACAATAATGTGAATTTTTAATTTGTGAAACTCATTTGCTAAAAATTGTGATCATTTGCACTGAATGAAACAGCATCTCAGTAAAATTATGTCATTTTGTCTATTTAACCAGTGCAAATGTTCAGTAGCGGCATTTAAGTAGTGTGTTCTGGTTAATACTTCAGAACTTTTAAATGTGTTTGTGTTCCGTAGATAATTCCATTAAACTTAGCTTAGTTACAATTATCCAAAATTATTCGTATTAGTAGTTATAGTGCTTAGTTGACCTTAGAATTCAAATTTCTTGTGAAACGATTAACACATTGGATTTAGAAAGTTATACACAAATCGCACTTTTTTTAATTTTAATGACAAACCAACCGGGTGAAAACTTGGCTACTTTTTACAAAGTATACACAATTTTGTTGTATAAATTTACGTACAAGTCATGCAGCTAATTTTATCGATATTTCATTAATGTAAAACTAGCGTTTTTTTTTTTTAATTACTACTACAAAAAAGTAGTATGTCGTAAAGATTATTTTATAGATAAAACAGATAGATAATGCTACAATTTTAATTTATAACATTCTAAAATTAATTTTAATATTACCAGTAATACAATATCTCGTATCTGACAGTCTTTCAAAAAACGGTACAGTTGGGAGCACGAAATATTTTATGCGTTAATTTTCCTAGTTTAATTGTATAAAAAGTCAGGCGTACATGGATGTAAGTAATTAGCCAACTGAGATAACTAGAAGCATTAACTATGCCGTGCTCCCAGTTGTACCAGCAATACCTCCAACATCTTAACCTAACTTTTCACTTGATAGTGAAGCTTGATAATTGAATTTCAATTATTCGTCAATTTGTTGTTTGAATATATATAGTGTATTTTGCAATTTCTGATTTCTAAAAACTTTCTTTATTTCCCACTGAAACAATTGTAGTTTCCCGGCTATTGTAACATTACAAAATTTAAATTCGTGTTAATATAATTTCTGGTTAAACCGAAAAAGGCACTGCCAATTTTATCACACACTTAAAATACCTTTTTAATCGCTTTACATATTTTTTTATGTACAAAGTCTTGAGTAACGTGAACGTTCTCGATTAAAATGATCCAGCCTATATTTATAAGCAGAGTTAAAAATAAGTGTTGTTCTAAGAATTGTAAATACTTGAATTAACGAGTTGTAAATTAGTTCAGCGTTCGAAGTTAACTCAATACTGCAGAATTAATTAATTTAAAATAAATAATTTAATTGTTAAATTAATTAATGAACATGAAACTAAATGAATTAAGATCACGCCTGTTTCGTTATCAAGTTAAATTCGATTAATTTTTTTATCACGGGACGTGCAACCTTAAAAAGGATGTTTGCAACCATTTTTTATTTCTTCTCAATGGTAGGTAGCTATGGCATTCTTATAATTTTCATGATAAATTATAAAAATGTCATTAACTACAGTTAACACCCTAAAGCAAATACTTCTAAATGCATTGTGTTGTTAATCGTTTTTCATAATTAAAATTTCAAGAGTAAAAAAACACCAAGTAATCGGAAATTATATTTTTGCTAACAATTAGATAGAAACTAAAGAAAAATGAGTATCACTCATTCATCTCATCTCTTTTCTTTTCTTGTGAAATATTAGTTATTATATATTCAAACGATTTCACTCGTGTATTAATTTTTTTTCTCTTTAATAAACATGATAAATAATTCAGAATTTCGCAAGGATTGAAATTGTAGGAACTGGGGTCAACTGTGCTTCAACTAAGTAACTTTTATTCTCATGATTGTGATATTTTAAAAAATCTAGATTTCTTTAATTTAAACGAACTTTCGTAAATACAATCGACAATATCAATAGTCGCAACTAAAATATAAAATTTCCCTTGAGAACGTTCTTACCATTTATCAGACCAAATAAACTTCACGCAGTCGATTTTATATTTAAGATGCGACGCTGTAGTCTTTAAAGGTGTAAAAACTTTTGTTTCTTGGAATCTGTACATAGAGATGGGGAGTAATTTTATAATGTAAATCTATGGAACAATCAAAATCCCCGATCTTTTTTAACCGAGGTTTGTACATACAGTCATTGATATTATCAGTAGCTCAAAATGTAGTGCTCAAATTTGGTGATTACAGCAATATTTTTTATTTTTAAACTCTAGTGTGTCTCCTGTAATTCTAAGAACTATCTGTGTAATAATGCGTAACAACCCCATAAAATTAATAATGTAGTCAAGAGTTTTTAACCTACGTCTATGTTTAAGAAAATAAACACAGATTTTTTTAAGAACATATCAGCGTTATATAAATAACTGGAATTTTACGATTGTGTAAGTTTATGTTACCAAAAACTGTAATTGTTTGTTTGACAAGTCACACAAAATAAACGAAGTGGTGTTAATCTATTTTTTTTTTATTACCTAGGTTAGAAATAACATACGTGCTTCGCAAAATTCAACTTTATTTTATGCTGCAGCATTACAAACAGGATAAAATTAAAATATGAAAAAAAAAGTAATTAATTGCCAATGTACTGATTCAAACTTTAAAATAAAATATGAATTCAAAAAATGCTTACACCATTTTCCTTATCACAATATATATAAAATATTGGCCAATTGCATTGCATTATAATTTCACTTATAATGTTCAATAAAAGTACACATGTATTAAAAATATATTTTTGTATACTGAAAATTTCAATGTTTTTCATAAATAATTGGAATGTCAATACAAAAAAAATGGTATATGGTGCATACCACTATCAATTTTGTCATCCATAAATAAATATATATATAAAAAAACTTACATCACTGGCTTCACTTACGCAAATACGTTTTTCGGTCAAGAATTAAAAATTTCTGATGCAGTTCTTCTGAAAACAGATTCAGTCATCCTTTGGATGCAAAGGTATAACAAATTTTGGGCCAAAAGGCGACTTGTACTTAATCCCAACTTCAGTAAAAATGTCAACTGGGAATCCCAAATTACATAAATATAATTTTCCATTTTTTGACGAATGAGGTAGAGGTAAGACGGGTAGTAACGAGAACTTTGGTGTAATTCCCGGAATACCCACGGAAGGAGGATCCAGAGCCAAAATTGGAGCTCTGTTTCTCGTCGCCCAATCGCACAGATCTGGGTAACTTTTTGGATTCTCCGTATCTTCGCATAATGCCACTATGATTAAATCCGCGAAATTTGGCAAGTTCGATACAGAGTAAACCACTTGGTTTTTCGTAAGTATATAAAGTGATAACTCTTTTTTTATTACCGCTACTTCTGAAGACACAATGTAGACTATCGTGTGGACCCCGTGACTGGCCAGGTGTCGGGCAGCGTTGATCCCCATTGCTCCCTGCCTAAAACATGAATTTGGTTGAATAGGATTTGAAGTCAGGGTTGATTTTATTTGTATTAAATTACAATGAGATTAAAAAAGTTGCTCCCTTGTTGCACTTCTATCAAATTCGCACCATCACTACCATCAATAGTCAACGGTGGACCCTTTATTGGCACTAATGCCAACAACGTTGTATTTCGTGACTAATGAAAATCATCAATTCTTACGAGTTGTTATGAATCGTTTGAACTTCCTATACGGTTGGATGTTCAGGGTCTAAATGGTGATGTGTTTTCATTAGCTTTAAATGAAGTTAGAGACACCTTAAGTCTGGGAGACAAGTATGGGTTACGGTTACGGGTCTTATTAGGGTGTGTGGTTTCCACCTCAACTAAATTAACACTCATTTGCTTACTAAGCTTGGGTATAAGCGCATATCTTTATGAGTGGAAGAAGGACAGTATCCTATTTTATATCGTCCTTCCACGATGGTACTTTTCTATATATGTGAACAAAAACTCAATTATCTCAAAGAGGATATGAACCAGATTTCTTATTTATGTATGAGAAATTAATAGAGGATTAGAGATTAAGCAATGACCGGGACGGCCTTCGATACTTTTTAATATCTACGACCTTGACTTTTAACATTGATACCAATGTTTTTTGCGATACGTTAGTTTCTTTTTCTTTTATCTGGTTCTGAACATCTAACAGCAGAAACCAAACTAAATCCTGATAATTTTTATAATTTTTTAAAGATACACTTTTCATTGTAAAATGCGTAGCATATAATGAAAAAAAAAAAAAAAACAGGTACCCCAGATAAAACTGCGCAGCCTTTATATCTTGAAAATGGATCGAAATATTGAAAGTTTGTAAACGCCATTGTTTTTAGCTTGTTGGGGAAGCTTAAATTACCACATCCTATTTGTTAAGAGTTGTGGAAGACAGTGGTTAAAATTTTGTATAAGAGAAAAAAGGAGGGCCACGGATTTCCTGCCTTTGCTCGTAAAAGTTATGATACTATGTGATTTTTTTGCGAAAATTTCAAAGCGGTTTCATACACCACAAGTGTATTTAAATAATTTTGATGTAGAAACGTTTTAGATGACGTTATCAAATTATTTGTGAAGATAATTAGCCAAAGTTTGGTTAGCGTTTCACCATCCACATGATATTCATAGTGTTCGTACAAAATTTAACACAATCGGTCCAGTACTTTCGGAGATATTCTGTCTAATGAAAATCGATACAGACGAGGGACAGAAGAAAACGGAAGATCTATTTTTTCTTACTCTAGACATGTTAAAACGTCGAGAAAACATTAAAAAGCCATTCGCCGGATAGATCCTATTATTACAATACTTTTCTTAGCTTATGCTCGGGAAGTAAAAAATGCTTGAATTATTCGTAGCCTGTACTTGACTACGATTCTATACATTTTTACCTTTACTGTATAAAATTGATTAAAAGTAACATATTTTCGAAATCAGCTAAATATTAATCAGAAATGAATCGCGATTTTCCAATGTATTCTTGTTTGGCTTTCCTTTTGACTTTTCAAACTTCAACACATAATGCACGTTTAACGCTTCGGGCACAATTTCCACGGGTTATCATAAATGTTTTTAAGGACAATTACAAAGTATTCACATTAACATTTCGTGAGAAATATCCTGAATTCCATCTTCCAATAATTTCCTATTTTAAATTCATTTGGAGTTGGCGTATTTTTAATGTTTTATTTTTATAATAATTGTCTTTATGCACATACAACTACAGGGTGTCTCTTTTATTTGATACAACCTCTGTAACTTTTTTATTCTTAGCGATAAACCTGTAGTTCTTTGAGCAAACTTATATCATTTTAAAAGATCTATGTAATGGCAACTTCACATTTTAATTATCATGTCCGGTAGAACCGAAAATGACGTCAACTTTGTCTATTTTTTTTATCAAAAGCAATCACTATTCTAAAATTAATACTTAAAAAGTTATTCAATAAAATAGACGAAAAATTCATATTTATTGATGACAATCTAGTTTAGTAGCTTGAAAAATTGACACTCATATCATTTATTCACATAAGTGATCTTTTAAAATGATACAAATTTGCTCAAACAACTATATGTGTATCTTTAAAAATAAAAAAGTTACAGGGGTTGTATCAAATAAAAGAAACACTTGATATAGGTGTACATACAATAAATAAAATTTGCAACAATCTTCCTTCTCCCCTAAGAAATAGTCAATCAGCTTTTTATTTAAACGTGAATTAAAATAGTATTTAATGAAATAAAGCTTTTATTGCTTTATGTACATATACCGGGTGTCTGGAAAATGGCGGATTAACTCTTCATGACTTATGTTATGTACGGGGGTTTCGGGCGTCCCAAAAAATAATAAAAAAATTATTTATGATGCGTGAATAGTGAATATCTCAGGCTTACTTTCTGAATTCTTAGTAATGACGCTGACCGAAATCCACCTTTTATTTTTTTTTAGGCCAAAACCATAACAACCAGTATTCATTAATCGTTATAAACAAAAACAAAACCAACAAAAGAAAAATTCATTAAAGCATAACCAACTAAACACTACAGAAGATGTTCAAAATTCCTGCCTTGCGCATATAAATAAGTAAGCTAGAAATGTTTCCCAATTTTGATTATTTTTTCTAAAAGTTAGTCAGCAATACTTGATAAGATAAAACTGATTTTGGCAAATGACATACCCTCTAAGAAAAGACAGGGCGGGTGGGCGGGGCTAGTACCTGCTAAGATAAGACTGATTTTGGCAAATGACATTATCTAAGAAAGTAGAGGGCGGATGGGTGGGGCTAGTATCTGCTAACATTTGACTATTTTAGCAAATGACGTATCCTCTAAGAAATTTAATTAAATTATTGTCAGAAAAGACACTAGATGCTCCAAAGTACTCATACCTAGAACCTCAAAACTGTTTTAAATTTTCAAAAAAAAAAAAACGAGGTCCCAAAAACAGGCCAAGTCAGAATTTTCCAAAAATAGAACACCAAAGTCCCCCAAAATTCTTTTAAATAATTTACAAAAAAAAATCTCCATGGGCTACCAAAATAACACACCATGGGCATTCAAGAGTCTACCAAATTAAAAAAAAACACTGCGGCACTCGAGACTTTTTCAAATTCGTAAAAAATAACACTAAAAGCTCAAAAGATTTTTTCAAGTTCATCCAGTAACAAACCACCAGATTCCTTTAAATTTATATCCGAAAAGAAAACACCAGGGGACCTAAAAATTAACTGCGAACATTTTAAACGTACAGTTTTCAAAACTTTGACAATTTTTGATACGTCACAACAGTTTTAACTTAAGGCTCTACCACACCTCAAGAAAATTTCTATTTTAAAAGATATGCAACTTGTAAAACACCCATGCTACCTCGTTATGACAGCTGCCACTCATCTCTAAGGGTTAAAATCGTTTACTTCGTTTACAATAAGTAGGTAACTAGTTTTATTACTGCTATTGTCAGCGGGGGAAGTGTATCCCAGCTTGCAGGTAGAGCAGAGTAAGGAACTAAAATATTTATCTACTATGAAAGAAAACAAACAATATTTCTTAACTTACGTTCGAGAAGTAAAAACGCAAAAACACGTCTACTGGTATATAAAAATTGCCATTTTGTAATATTAGTTTCAAAAGTTTTGAGCGATATTTGACAGGTGTATGACGTCATCGATAATTTTTTAAATAGCACCTCCTACCTTTTTTTAGCATAAAGTCCCTTGAAAGAGAATTTTTGATATGCGGTTTAACCTAATTTACTGTCATAAGAAAAGAAAAAAGCCAAATGTGTGTTTTAAAATAAATTAATAAAATCATTGTCAGAGACTGTTGAGATCTTTACTCGCAATACACACAACAAAAAAATGCTTGTTCATATATATAATTCCGACCATAATTCTTCCTCTTATTTTTAAATTCCTGTTTCCATAAAAATTCGTACGTGTTGGGCATATTCTGTAAGTAGGTAGAAAAGTAAAATTAAATTTCCAAGAATATTTTATTGTAGGTAGGAAGGTTCGTTATTGTGAGTATTTCTTAGTAATCTTGGAATTTTTCAACCCGAAATCTTAAAAATTTAGGTAGGTACATACCTAGTTACCTCTCGGAATGTATTTTGAATGAAGGTGGAAGGTTATTTCAACAGAACTTCTCTCGCCTCTGCAATACAATAAAACAAACCCAGCTTTTTCGAAAAATTATAAAATTTGATTATGCGAATTTAATTTTTTTTATGAGAACCCGGATATGTTAAAATTTTGTCCAAAAATTCTAGATGTCTAGGGTGAAAATTCTACACGGATTTACACACCACAAGTGCAGGAGTATCTAATTTTATCAAATTTAAAAAACTTTGTATTATAAATTTTGGAGATGACGTCATCCCATTGGTGGTGGAGATGATTTGCCAAATTTTAGTTAGCGTTTAACCATGTACATGATATTTCTAATATACATACAAAATATGGCAATAATCGATCCAGTAGTTTCGAAGAACACTTGTCTAATAAAAAATCGATACAGACTCCAGACAGACAGATAGACAGATAAACAGACAGACAGACAGACATACGGAAACGGGAGACCACTTTTTTCGTACTCTAGAGGTCATGACACGTCGAGAAATTAGTACTGGACATAGAATTGTTGACATAGGCCACTTATTAACAACACTGAAATCAATCAGTCATATTATGTTGGGTTGCACTTTAGATAATATTGAAATAACTGATGAAAATTGTTATGGTTTAAAAAGTGTTTTCTACTACAAATGTAATATGTACGGAATATTAGGTAATTTTTGTACAGAACCTGAAAATCATATATACAAAGTCAATTATGCAGCTATTTGCGGAGTTAGATCAACGGTCATAGGTTATTCTCATATTTCAGAATTTTGTTCAGATCTAGATATCCCTCAAAAACCCCAGGCGACATATCGTAATCGCATTCATTAATTTTTTTGAGT